ATGAAGACTTCGCCTGTGGGAACATAGCAATTAATCAATAATAATGATAATCAATACACTGAGTTACATGTACATGCATTAAAATTACATGCACTGTACATGTCATGGAATCCATTGTCACAAAATCTGTGACAAGCAAAAACCCATTAGTTCCATTGTCCAGGACTTTTGCTAGATTTTTTAGCAACTTTAAAAATTCATAAAAAATCCAAAACTGATCGGAATTAGCTCAAACTTTCTACGCAACATAAGAACATGTATGTATATGGCATAGTATAGGATAGAGTACAGGGTATTTCCTCTTACCGTTCCTGTATATACTCTGTGTAGAATCAGATAAAGCAATACTGGACCTGTTGCTTCCTCTCTCTCCATCAGTAGCTTCAATAGCTCCACCACCTTTACTGTTGTCAGTGGTTTGGGAATGAGTCTTACTGGTATGGGAACCAGTCTTTGAACTATCAGGTGTAGGAATGGGACTGGGATTATGAGGAACCTACATGTATACATGTACGTTGTAAATACATAAATTACTTCCATAATACGATAATTTATGCTTTAGCAAAAAAACAAGCTTAATCCATACAACAGATTACGTACACAATGATAATAGGAGTACAATAACGATTTTCTTACATTTTGTGTTGATTTAGTTACTAGCACAGCCACGACTGAAGCAACAAGAGAAGAGAACACTACAGTGCCAGCCACCACTAGCAATAAACTGAATGAGAAACCTAATACATCAGGACCAGGTCCATCAATATGACCACCATCAACAACTTGTAAAGGCTCTTTATTCTGTACTGTAGGCCCAATCTTGTACTTCTCTTGGCTCCATTTCTCTGATAACAACTGCTCTATCTTTATCCTGCTGTCCTCGGGGAGTGGGTAATGGCCAGAGAATGATGGATGATCAAGGCTAGTGACTTGAGGCTGAGGCCCATCAATTAGAGGAACATTGAGAGGCAACTGAGGAGGAGAGAATGAGAGAGAGAGGGGGGGAGAGAGAGAGAGAGAGAGAGAAGAGAATCACTAAAAGTTCTTTCCTGAATATCTCTTCAACTCTCTTACCCTTTCCCTTACTTACCTCTTGCATGCTCCCTTCCTCAGTCAAGGCATTCATTACATACATCTGACCATTGTGGTCTCCAACAAAAAACGAAGATCTACACACGTACAACAATAAGAATAAAAACATGTTTACTATGCACATGCAGTACTGCTGTGCACATACATGAACATTATGCATACATTTATTCATACTAACAGTAGTAGCAATTCAATAGTAGCACAATTACATGGTAATTTTATTTAGTAAATAAAGCACAGTTTCTATACATAAGAAAGGGCATACAGGCCTTTATTTACATGCATACACAAGTGATCAGTAATACTTTTTAATAGCTAAATTTCTCTCCATTTCTCAGCTCCTTCTCTTACTGTAAAATAGTGTCCGTTGGCGTTAGGCTATAGAGTCCGTTCTTAATAGCCAGTGCTCTTGATGCCGTCATCCCCTGGAGGGTATCGTCATTGATTGATGTAAAGGGTATGCTACGCAAAACTTGTGACTTCTCTAGCGAATAAATGCCAACAACCGGGGAGCCGAAATCCTTCTCCCAGACCTTGTCACCTGGAGGGCCCAGCAAGTTAAAAATGACTTTTAAAATGATTGCAATAATCTTAAAAATATATTATTTGTAATAATCTGTAACCTGTTAATGAGTTTAGTGAGGTTAATAAACCATGGGAGCTGGAACTCAAATGTAAAAGATCTACAAATGAAGTATCAATGAGGATGTACTTGTTAATGAACCCAAACCTTGTGATTGTCTTGCTGTGTAAGACTGAGTACCATACTGAGTGTAGGTGATGTTCACTCTAAAATAAAGGGGGGGGAGAGGGGGCTAAATATACTCCCATTTATAAACTAAATACTTTATTTGCTTCGTTTTACTGTCCAGAACAGCTACTCTGTATTCTAAAGGGAACATGAAAAATATAGAGGTGGAAGGGAGGCCCTTACCAATGGAAGGTATGTGTATAATCTTATTGCTCCCATATTGGTTAGGTGGACACATTGAGTTCATTCCATCATGACTGCTAAAGGAGTAAAGCTTTCTACCAGTGAGGGCATCAACTGCTATCCAACTATCCTGCTTAGAGCCTAAGGAAAGAAATAAAAGACACATATAATAATAAATAAATAAATAAATAAATAAATAAATAAATAATATTAATAATAAGAGTAGTATGTACATGTACATGTACATATACACAAAGAAAGAGAGAGAGTATGAAGGTTTATAGAAGAAAGGGTAGGGAAAAGAGGTCAGAATATCAAACAGAGATGGACTCAAGGGGAAATTTACATGTACATATACTTACCTGAGTAGAGTAAACCATCTGAGCTGCTACAGGGAGATATCTTTACTAATTCAGGTATGGTTAATGGTAGCCTCTGTATTGTAATGAAATGAGGAAATACAGGAAATGTAGAAGTACATGTAACTTAATTCTATTATTGTACTGAGTCATGAAATTAAAAATGAATACAATTATGCAAGTAGATACGATCACAGTGCAAATAATCCCATTGATTATATTAAAAGATAAAAATAAATCTCCTCTCATTTTATGATAAGTGAGTCCATACCTTAATCCCATCACTTTGGGGTCCAGACATGTATAAGGAGCCATCTTTAGGGTCAGTGAGGTAGAGGTAGCTTGATGAAGAGAGATGGGTAACAATGGGAGACTCTGAAGCATTAAGAAAAGGTATTTATTAATTATACAAAAATTATCTCACTGGCTCTCTCTCTCTCTTTCTGCATACATCATACTTATTGTTGGTAATTTATGCTATGTACATGTATATGTATTTCATCTGTTTTGTTTTACCATAATTATTATGTATGTACTTTTACATACACACATGTACTTTGTTTATTTTGACATTATCATGGTTGACTCAACTACTCGATCATCATTGATTTCTACTTCATTTGATTTAATTAATAATTACATGTATAGATCTACCACTAATTAATTATGATTAAATGTATTTTACATGTATGTAAAGTATTTGCTCACTGCTGTTCAGTTTCCACAGGGTGTCTCCTGTTAGTTTATCAACAGCAAACAGCTTCCCATCCAGAGTCGAAAACAATAACAAGTCTTTATAAGCTAAAGCAATATCACTCTGTGCAGAAAAAGAAAAGAAATAATAATAATAATAACAATAAATAAATAAATAATAATAATAATAAAGACTTTCACAATCTCTTTTCTCTTCCTCTGTCTCTTACTGATGATTGGTCAGAGTCAGTGGAAGGAAGGCAGGAGAAGAAACCCACAGAAAACAGCAAGAGCCATGGTACTGAAGAGTTCATTACATTTGTTTAATTTTGTTCAGTGTGATGTGGCAAGGAAGGGCGTGGCTAACAATTAGTGCCACACCTATAATAGGTGTGGTTATTTTTTGTGACTCCGCCTCTTAAAATGGCGGATAATTTCAAAGTCCCAAAGT